GAAGACCCGTTAATATGACTGTTATTCAAATTTATGCCCCAACCACCAAAGCCACACATGAGGAAATTGAAGAATTTTATCAGCTTCTACAGTCTGAAACTGACCAAACATGCAATCAGGATGTGTTAATTATCACTGGTGATAAACATATAGGCCAATGGAATAGAACTGAGGGTCCAGAAATAAACTCATACATCTATGGCCAACCGATTTTTTGGAAAAGGTGCTAAGTCAATAATTAATGACACTGAATTATACACATGAATAATTTTGAAATGGCAAGTGCTTTGCTACATATATATTCTAAAACAATTAAATAAAAAGAAAAATGGAGCTCAGATACATGTTACGGCATGATGAACATTGAAAATATGCTAAATGAAAGAAATCAAACACAAAAGAACAAATACTGTATGATTCCACTTTTATGAAATATCAGCAATAAGCAAATCCATAAAAACAAACATTTATTAGTGGTTACCAGGGCCTGGGGAGCAGTAACAGGGAGTTGTTGCTCAAGGGATACTGAGTTTCTGTTTGGGGTAATGAAGAAGTTTTGGAAATAGGGGTGATGAGTACACAACATGATGACTCTAACTAACATCACTGAATTTTGCACTCAAAAATGGTTAAAATGGCAAAACTTTTGTTATATGTATTTTACTACAAAATATTATTTTTTTAAAAAACTCAATATAAAGCACTCTCAGACTTCAACAATAAGAAAATAAGCAACCTAATAAAAATGGACAAAGGATTTAAACAGACAATTGAGAAATACAGATGGCAAAAAAGTACTTAAAAAGATACTCAACATCATTAGTCATTAGAGAAAGGCAAATTAAAATTACAGTGAGAGACTTTCATATAGAATGGCTAACTTTTAAAACACAAACAATACATAGTAAGGGTCAGAGTATAGAGGAACTAGGTCTCTCAAGACATTGCTGGTGTGAAAGCAAAACGGAATAGCTACTTTGAAAACATTTTGAGAGCTTCTTACAAAGTATTTACATATATTTAGCATATGACCATATTACTACAGTATAAAACTTATACCCACATGAAAACCTGTACATAAATATTTACGGCAGCTTAATTCCTAAACTCTAAAAATGAGAAGCAACCTAAATGTCATTTATCTAGTAAAAGGATGAACTAACAGAAGTATAAATCAAACAACAGAATACTACTCAGCAATAAAAAGAAATGAGTTATTTATACATGTAACAACATGCATGACTCTCAAATGTATTACGCTTAGTGAAAAAAGGCCAACTCAAAGTTATATGCAAGTACGGATGCATGCTACAACATGGAAATTTTAAAATATTATGCTAAGTAAAAGAATCCCATTACAAAAAGCCATGTATTTTATGATTCCATTTATGAGAAATGTTCAGAATAGGTAAATCATATGGACAGGAAGTAGACTGGGGAGGTTGGGGAGGTAAACTAGAGAGTGAATTCTAAGGTGTATAGGGTTTCTTCTTGAAGTGACAAAAATGATCTAAAATGAGATTGTGGTGATGTACAATTCTGTGGATATACTATAAACTACTGAAGTATTCACTTTAAATAAACATTGTGGTATGTAAAATACATCTCAATAAAGCCTTAAAAAAAAAAAAAAAAAAGGGAAGGGGAGAATAATGGGGATAAAGTGACCTTTCCTTTCTATGAAATTAGTAACACAGACTAGAGGTAAGCAAACTTTTTGTATAAATAGCCAGGTAGTAAATATTTCAGGCTTTGTGGGTCAAATGGTCACTGTGGCAACTGCTCATCTCTGCTGTCATAATGCAAAAGCAGCTAGAGACATTACATGAATGAGTGTGACTGTGTTAGCATAAGACTTTTTTTACTCTGAAAGATACCAAAATTTGAATTTCATATTATTTCCACATGTCATAAAATAATATTCTTCTGTTTTTTTTTTTTTTTTCAACCATTTAAAAATTTAAAACTCATTTAGTTCATATGCCAAACAAAAAGAGCTGGTGGGCTAGATTTGGCCCACATTACATTTCACTTCAAACTCATCACATTTCAAGTCTCAAGGGTCACATGTGGCTAATGGCTACTAAACTGGAGAATACAGCTCCAGGATTTCTCTCTCTCACCATTATCTTCCATCCTTTGAGTTCATTCCTTCAATCCAGCTAAACTTACTCTTTACCCTTATTCCAACCTCAAATCCATCTGGTTTTACTCACCTTAGTACTTAGGCCAGACTCCATTTTAGACCATTCCAGTGCCTTCTACAGGAGCTCTGGTAGTGTAGTGCCTAAGGCACTTGACTGCTAACCAGAAGGCTGGCGGTTCAAACCCACCAGCCACTCCTCAGAAGGAAGACTGGGCAACCTACTTCCGTAATAACACTGCCTAGGAAATCCAAGGAAGGGGTCACTATGAGTCAGATCCGACTCAACAGCAGTGAGTTTGGTTTTTTTAAGAGTTATGTCACTGTTAAATTTCTCAGGTGACCCTTCATTCTCCCTCTAAATGAACTCTCATGCCCTGCTCTCTTTTCATCTCACTCCACACTTCTTTTATTGGTAATCTCATTCATTCCCACTTCTTCTGGAATAACCTCTATCACGTATTTAAAAAATTTATACTATAGACCTGTTGAGCTTGAGCCTGTATTTTCTACTATATTGGAATGTGAATTAGTCCAGGGCTTGCTATATAAGAATAACTTGGGAAGCCTGCTAAGAATTCCAATTTCTGGGCTCTACTCTTAACTCTAAGTTAGTACATCTGGAATGAAGTCAAGGGATTTCTATTTTTCAAAAAGCTCCCCAGATGATTTTGAAATCCTCTGTTAGACATTGCCAGATCACTGTCCCATCACCTCCTAAAACTCAAAACATTCAAAAAAGAAAACACAATCTTTCTTTCCAAACTTGCTGTCTTATACTACATATTTCAGCTAATAGTATTATTACTCTATTTCTAATCATTTTAGTTCAAAACCAATCTACCCTTTATATTATGGGAGAATCATGTTCCTAAAGCACAGTCCAACCAGGCCCGCTCTGACTATAAATAAAATCCAAACAATTCAGGTCATTCAAGTGTCTCTACAACCTGTCTGCCTACCTTCACACTTAAATTTCCACTTCAGCTCTCCCACGGCCACCAGAGCTCCAGTCATACGAGGCTCCTCATCTTTTCCAAACCAGCCCTAAGTATCCTATCCTCTTAGCTCTGCCTTACACTATTCTCTCATGCAGATCACCTCATCCCTTGACTCCATCTAACCATATCTCACTCACCATTAAAAACATGATGCAAAAAAAAAAAAAAAAAAACTTTTCTAGTTGCTATTTGAAATCACTCTAACATGCTGTCAAAGTATGTTTGTGTCTACGCAACGGAACTTTCCATGTTGTGCCTTGTATCGCTCTATCATAATTATCTGTGTATATCTGTCCCCAGAGCACTTCCTTGAGAGCAGAAATTGTTCTCATTTTTCTCTTAAACCTGAAAGTCTTCATAGATTTGCCTTGAAGGTAAGGTACTGTTAAATCTCAAAATCTGTCATATATTTAGCTGAACAATGTACAACATAGAATATACCAAACCCCATGGCTTTATCAACCTTTGTGTATAATTAGACAACTTCAGCCTTCTCCAAATCCCTAACCTCAATTTCCACACACTATTACTAATCACATAAAAGAGCTAAAGAATAAACTAAAATAGCATTTTACCTGTCACCCACCTATACATTGTTACAAGTTGCTACTAATATCTAGGCTGGCTGAGATCTGAGTCATTAAGAGTACCATTTCCTGAATCATCTACACCACTTCCTGTTCTTTATTTTTCCCAGTAAATATAATGCCTAATAATTGTTCTGACCAAGCCAAACCCTGTCTTAAAAAAATGAGTTTAAAATCCAATAAAGCATAGCCTAGTTTAGTATCAGTGAATGATCACTTACTTACTACATAAAGCATACCTGAGTTGGGATAGAGGCAGACATCATTAATGTCATGTTCTGGCTCCAAGGAAGTAAATATTTTTCCCTAAAGTATAAGAAAAATCAGGAATTACTGAAACAATTAAAGGAAGACAATTTATAGCATTGTCACATAGAGAAAATAAAACTGAAGCCACAACCCAAACACCATTGCTATTGAAAAAAATAAAATCACATAACTGAAATAACAGAATTTAAGTTTAAAAGGATCTTAGAGAATTCATCTTATCAATGCATAACTTTCATTTTAGAGATGGAAAAAATAAGGCCCAGAGAGAGGTGACTTACTAAAACAAATAAGTACAAAGATTTAAGAAAATGTCTTCATAGTAAAAAAGAATAAAGTTTAAAATAAAGTTGTACATCAACTTTCTAAAAGAAAATCCTCACAATCTGTAAAATATACCCTATTAAGACTGTACTCAAAAACACCAAAGAACGAGGTATAGCTAACATGGTAAACTGAGGACAGTATCCGTTGTACCTGTATCACAAGGTTTTAAGGAAAATCAAGTAAGATAATGGATATAAAATAATTTACCCAACAAAAATCCTATAAATACATAAGGTGTTAATAATATTATTTAGTTACAGGTAAAACACTTCCATTTTTAAGGTGAGGGAAAGGTACTAAATTTTAAAAAAACTAAGAAAGGGAAAGAAAAAGAAAACCTGAAGATGGGTGTGAAGAAAAAGATAAACAAGAAATCCAAGGCAAGCAAAACCAAGTAATCTGGGTGTTCGTTGAGAGGAAGTATTTGGTCATAAAAAACAAAATATGCCAAAATAAAATCTACTGTAGCAATTATAGCACAAAGACTGCAAGAATTGATAATAAAAATTTATACTCGCTTTTGCATTTATAAATCATTATTAGAAGAATGACACTAGAATATGACTTGGTTGTTGTGTTGCTGTTAGCTGCCACGGAATCAATTCTGACTCATGGGGACGTCATTTGTGCAGAGCAGAACTGCTCCATGGAGTTTTCCAGGCTGTGACCTTTCAGCTAACAGTTGAGCACTTAACCATTCGCACCACTCAGAGACTCCCAGGATGTGGCTACCTGCTGCAAAATGAGAACTATAAAGCACAGTGAAAAGATGGTCATTTTGTGCTCAATTAAAAGCAGCAGTTAAATTCTAATTCACACATCTAGCTGTCTTTCTTCCCAAGTCCCCAATAAAATAGGGAGGAAAGAAGGAAGGGGGAAAAGAAATAGGGAGAAAGGGAGCTATAATAGCACAGAACAAAAGAGAAAATGTATCACAGTTATATAATACAGAATGACATGAATAACTATGCAACAGTTAAAAGAGTCTGGTGATGCAAAGATTAAGTGTTCAGCTGCTAATGGAAAGGCTGGTGGTCAAACCTATCAGCAGCTCTGCAGGAAAAAAACACCTGGTAATGTGCTCCTGTAAAGACTGCAACAACAAATGCAACACACTGCTGTGGAGTCGGATCCGACTCATAGTGACCCCTCCTTAGGTTTCCGAGGCAGTATCACTACGGAAGTATATTGCCCAACATTCCTTCCGAGGAGTGGCTGGTGGGTTTGAACCACCAGCCTTCTGGTTAGCAGTCAAATGCTTTAGGCACTACACTCCCAGAGCTCCCCCTGTAAAGATTACAGCCTAGGAAATCCAATGTGGCAGTTCTACTCTGTCATACAAAATTGCTATGAGTTGGGATTGACTCCACAGCACACAACAGCAACGTGCAAAAGTTATCTAAACGTAATAGTCATTAGCAACTTTGGGGGGAGGAGGGGGAGTAGAACAGATCACAGTCAAGTATAACTTCTACTTTACCAGTATTTTAAGAATTTTTCTAAACAAAAATGTGTACATTTGTGGTATTAACAATAAATATTGTTTTAATGTTAAATATTGTTTTAATGTAAATCAGTTTGGATTGCCAGATAAAGAGCAGAGAAAATTCTGGTCTAAGATACAAGAGAAATATAATAAATTTTCCTAAAAAGCCCTGGAAAAATTCCAAAGACAACAAATGCAAACAGTATAGGAGATTCCTGGGAAATCATCAGGGTAATTTTTCTAAGAATTTAGAAAAGCTGGAAGCTTATCTTCTCCCTAATACAACAGAGTCACAAGGTGCTATGAGAGAAGCCAAATACACCTTGAGGACGACTTTGAATCTCTGCAACAAATCCACAAGGTGAAAAGAAAGTAAGCTCAGTAAGATCAATACTCTGGGAGTTAACAAAAGGAAATAAAGTAAAAGTACAGCCACTCCTCACTTATCAACACAGTTAGGTTCCAAAGACCCGGTCATTATGTGAAAACTGGTGCTATGAAAATGGGAGGAGGACCACATCAGATCACCAAGTGGAAGATGACTACATCATTACATAACTGCCAAACCAGTGAGAATCACAGCCCAGCCAAGTTGACATACAACCTTAACCATTACAGCCAGCACTACTCTACACCTTGGCATTCAGTACTGCCAGCCATACATTGTTAATACATGAAATAGCTGGATAGGAGATTTTACTATTGTCATAAATGCAAATTGTCAGCTAAAGAGATAGTCAATAAGTGAGGAATAGGTGTAACAGTACAAGAAGCCAGGATTTTGACAAGTATTGGATTGTAATGTGACTCCCTGTACAACATGGGGCTTTCATAGAAAAGAGTGACACTTGTTCTCTGACAACTACAGCTGAAACTTGTGGATATTCCACTTCCTTTATCTCAAAAATAAATACATAAATCAGTGATACATCTTTTGGACTAAGATGGTAAGTTCTAATTTAGTAAATGCAAAGAACTCTCAAAAGCAACTGCTATATTAAATCTGTTTTTCCCATTTATTTGATGAAGTAGGCTTTTACTATTCTCTCAAAATAAGTTTTAAACTATAAAGTGAAAAAACAGAAGATGGATCAAAGCTAGTAATATAGGTTTATCATTACTTTTTAAATGATGATTGGAGTTCAGGGAAGAGAATATTAAGTATTCTTAAGAAAATATTAATCTTAAGAAAAACACTGTAAGAAAGTATTGTAAAGGGTCATTTGCTTCAAATTCAATTGTCTGACATGGGGAAAGGGATAAAATAGAAGGCATAATGATATTGATATGGAAACATAATCCATAGCTCATAAAAACTTTCTAAAATTGTGAGGTAACCTCAAGATCTGGTGGGATTTCCCATGAGCTGACTTTTAAACAATAATTTACACTCTAATTAACAGCACATCTACATATAGATGCCAGATCTTGGAAATGAGAAAAACTTCTTTAATAGAGTGCAATCATGACTACTTCATCTGAGTATAAATGTTATCTATCCCACAGAAACTGATTTCCTGATAAATACACAAATGAGTACTCAGTATCTTCATCTCAAGAACACACATTAAGTAAAATAAGGCAATGGAAAGAAAAGGAAAATAAGCAAATAAGGAAGTAATTTCAAAAAGTACATACTGAGTGCTTATTCCACATTTTGATAATTCGAGAGTCTGCAGACAAAATTAAATCTAACGACTCCTGGAAATGAACTGACTTAATGGGCAGACCATACTGGTGATCCTTAACTAGCAATGGCTTATCAGATCGAAGATCATATAATAAAACCTAAAAGGAAAAAAAAAAAGTTATTTCTGCTTAAACAAATATTTTATCGTAAAAAGAAACATCTGAAACTTAGAATTATTGCCATTTATTTATTTCATTATCTTTTTATAAACACAATGAATGCCCTTACTCAGGGTGCTAAGATTCTAAAGTCATAAATAGAATCTTGTTTCATTCATTAATTAAACAAATATATACTGAGAGCATACTATGTACCAGGCACTGTCATAGTGCCTAACATTAACAGAAGTGAAAGGCATAATGAAGAATTCAAGACAAATGGTATAGTAAGGCTATGACTACTGGGGAAGGGGATCGCTTCTGACCCCTGTCATTAGAGGCAACAGGATCTGGGGTAGCTAGATCTTAGTCTCAGGTGACAGATTTCCCTCTTGATTCAATGATGGAAGCAGTAAATCTATTACAGGCAGGGTCTTGGGATCCTTCTGTGGGTAGGGAAAACTTACAAATGTGTGGACTCTTCGCTGATACCTGTTGATGAAGATGGGACTTGGAGGGAGAGCAAGGTCAGGTACTGCTCATAGAAACAGACACTCAAATCAGTCTTCCTTTAAACAGTTATCATTTCTTTCTTTTATTTTTTTAAATTGTGATTTGGGTGAAAAGTTTGCAGAGCAAATTTATTTTCCATACAAAGGTACATACATATTTTGTTTCATGACCTTGACTGTAATCCCCACAATGTAACAGCTCTTTTCCTACTTCCTCCCTGTGGTTGCCTTTTCCCTGTGTCCTTCTTTACTACGCACTCCTGCTCTCTGAGCTATCTCCTCGTGCAGATATTGACCTTCTGACCTCCCGTGATTGACTGTTCTAAGGAGTATACCTACCTGGTGCAAAATGTTCACTTTACATGCCTGTCTATATTGTGTAGCTGGAAGCCAAGGAAGTTAGACAGCTATCATTTCTTAACTATAACTATGAGGTGGTTGGAGAATTCTAAGTTTTCTGCTTGCTATCAGTAACAGGTTGATTTCATTCTGTTACAACACTATGCAGAAGGACAGAGGACAAATGCATGCATGTGTGGTTGGGTAAGTGGGTAGACAGATGATTGATTTGTTGTTAAAATAATTAAATGGAATAATGTATGTGAAAAGAGCACAAGAAAAAGCACATAGTGAATGTGCAATAAGTGTGAAATTTTAATATATACCTTATTTAATCACACTCAAATATTTAGTACTCCTTGAAAAGTAGGAGATAAGAGCTTGGCAACTTGTTTTCTATCTTTCTAAATTGGTATTTCCAATTATGGCCCAATTCTTACAATACCTTACATATATATATATATATTCCAATTTCTACTGGGTAAGTCTTTTAAAATCAGCATGAAGTTAAATGCTTGTAAAATAGGCCTACACAGAATTTTTTTTACTTAATCCAATAGCATCCACAAGTTTTTCCATTTTTATTTCATCAGTATTCATACTTCTTAAATGTTGGATTTTTTTTCTACCGTTACTAGAAGTACTTTTTCACTTTGTTGAAGAGTTGGAATCTTGAGTAGAAAAGACCTTGTGGACTGTAGGAACTAATCCATCTCTATTATATATTTTTTAAAATTATCACACAGAGATAAATTTGTCTATTTTAGCCACAGCATTCCAGTAAAAGAGTGGGAAAAGAAAGGGATTAAAGTAAAAGGAAATGGTAAATTTCATAACAGCAAGGCCCTTATTGGACTCAACATTCTCAAGGGGTATGCCTGGTGGGCAGAGTCTCTTGTCAGTCTATATTAGACATTAAGAAATAAAGTCAAATGCCTAAGACTATTATCTTTTCAGGGACTTATAGAAAAAAAAAATTAATGTTTAATTAAAATATAAACCAAAAAAACCAACAATGAACCAGATTAAGTCTCTGCAGCTACTTCATTCCTACTCCTCAGATGAATTTTCTGAGGTGTATTCTGCTAACTAGTCATTACATGGGATGTAGTTACTGGGGCTACAAAAAAAAAGGTTCTTTGGGCAAGTACATTTTGGAAATGCTTTTTTAACACATTTCTTGTCTGCAGAAATTCTCAGAGCCTTCAGTATGTATTTAAATGCACTGTGAATCCTACTGCATTAGCACTAACACCAAACACCAGGCTATGGATAAACACACAGATAGGTGAGAAGCTGAGGTGAGGGCTGTCAAACAGGAATATACCCTACACCAAGGATAAGTTTCACTGAAGATAATCTTCCATATGCACGTGTGCCTCAAAATTAACCACACATATTACAAAAGCAACAGAAGACAGAGTTGGACTAACGTCTCAGGGACAAGCAAACACCTTGAGAGATTCACCAGGCCTGCCAACAGGACCATAGTCTTGAGGGACATCATGCTCAACTGATACGACATAATACATAAAAATCTTGTTCCACAACCTACTTTGGTGAGTAGTGACTAGGGTCTTAAAAGCTTTCGAGCAGCCATCTAAGATGCAACTATTGGTATCCTCTCATCTGAATCAAAGAAGAGTGAAGAAAATCAAAAGCATCTGGAAACAATTAGTCCAAGGATAAGATGGACCAGAGGACCCCAACCTTCATGACTCCAAGGCCAGAAGAACTAGATGGTGCCCGACTACCAATGCCAACCACCTGGGAAAGGATCAAAACTGGAGGATTCTGGATAAGGTAGGAGGAAAAATATGGAACAAAATTCAAAAACACAAAAATGATCAGAATTACAGGTCAGATAGAGTTTGGTGGAACCCCCAAAACTATGGCCCCGGGTTACCCTTTGGGCCTAGAAATGGACTCATACTCACTGATTGGCTCTCAGCCCAACAGTAGAAAGACCTACATGCAGAACATCTACCCCAGGGCAATGCACTCACCTCCTCTAGGGAGCTGCACCCCTTAGAGCAATCAGCCATGACACACCAGAGGGGCAGCATTCACATAGAAGGAAAGCTGGACAGACAGGAGTGCATAGTTAAGAAAGGCACAGGAAGGGGGGTAGTCACAGGGATGGGAGGGGAGGAGAGTTTGTTATGGTTGGGGATGGTAATTGGGGTGTGAAATCAAATGTACACAAACTGTTGAATGTAGAACAAATTTGCTCTGTAAATTTGCACCCAAAGCACAATAAAATTTTTAAATAAATAAATGCACTGTGAATCTCCAAGAGTAGGAGTTTGGCAGAATACCAAACTTTTTTGCCTAAAGAACTCTGTTCCACACACTCTAGAAAATGTTATTTCTAACCACTGCCAAGAGAACAAGGCCTATCCCACTGTAGCTCCAGTTCTAGAGCCTCACACACCAACCACCAAAGCCAGAATCAAAATTTCTCAAGGTGCAAGAAGAAGCTGGCATACTGGCATACCCTTTCCACTCTTGTCTAACCAATAATGCCTCATTTTCAACTACCCCAGTTAGTAGATGTGTGGATACTTCCCATTTCATATACAATCCGAATTTTCAACTCAAGCATTATTTACCTGCCCTGTGGATGTTCCAACTGCCATGGTCAAGGCGCCATTGAATTTCAAAGCTGAGATTGTTGGTAAACTGTTTATCCTGAAAGGTAAAATATTCATGCTCCATGTATGTAAGGTCCACACCATCCAAATAACAAATTCACTATTAATTTCAATACATACTGTCTACTTGTTCCTGGACCAGAATTTCTAGTCCAGGCTGTTGACTACTAGTATCATTAATCTTATGCCACCTAAAGTCTTAGCCAGTAACTACACTGATTTGGAACCTTGTGGCTCATTCATACCCACATCATCTTTGCTCATGTACTCTTCAAAATTAACTTTAAAATCTTATTTCAGTAAAACAACAAGTTATTTTTCTTCATTTATTCAAACTTTGTCATTTTCTTCACGTACTTATTCCTTCAGTTATTTTATAATTTCTATTGTTAGAAAGGGAGCTCTGGTAGCATAGTGCCTAAGGCACTTGACTGCTAACCAGAAGGCTGGCAGTTCAAACCCACCAGCCACTCCTTGGAAGGAAGATGGGGCAATCTACTTCCATAGTAATACTGCCTCAGAAACCCAAGGAGGGGTCGCTATGGGTTGGGTCCGACTCGACGGCACATAACAACAACAACAACATTGTTAGAAATGAAAACATTTTTCATTATAATTTTTCCAACTGAAAAATTTTTCCAACTGCTGATGAATACCAAAGCCACCAATCTGTGTACATTTATTTTTGTAGCCAAACAACTTTCATATTAGTTCTTAGAGTTTTTCAGTTATTCAACCGGGTTTCTCGACACAGAGCGTATCATCTACAGATAATGATAATATATCCTCCTCTTTCCAATATTAATACTTATTTCTTTTCTTTGGCTCCATCTTCCAGAATTAAATAACAGAAGTGAGAGCTTACGTTTTTGCACAGGAAGGAAAAAAAAACACAGTAAATAAAGTTGGCTGAAACCAAAAGAGCAAGAAAAACTACTGTTAACATTTTGCTGCACTTCCAAATTTTTTCCTATGATTAAACAAATGTGTTCATTACATTTTTTTTTTTTTTTAATAAAAATTTGATAAAACTCTTTGGCAAATATATAATTTGCTTTGCCACTTAAAGCATATTATAAATATCTTTTCCTGGTAATAAATATACTTCTGTAGCACAATTCTTTAAGGCTGTCATTGTCATCAGTATAGAATATATGCCATTGATGGATACCTTCTCATCTATAAAATAAGTAGTATCTACATCAAAGGTTGTTGTGAGGATTAAATAAGTTAATATATGCAAAGATCTCAGAAAAGTACCTGGTAGGTAGATATTCTCCTTAGAATGATCAATCATGGGAGAACAGAAGGGCAATATTTGCACAGGGAGAGATAGCTCAAAGAGCAGGAATACACAGGAAACAAGGACACAAGGAAGGGGTAACTACAGGGAGGAAGTCAGAGGAGAGCTGTTACACTATGGGGAATTGCAGTCAGTATCACAAAACAAAATGTGTATAATGAACTGCTGCATAGAAAATCAATTTACTCTGTAAATTTTCACCCAAATCACAATACAAATTAAAAAAAAAAAAAGTACCTAGCAAGCACTAAGGTCAATTGGCACTTAACACAGTCCCAAAGGAAGAGCTGATGCTTTTGAATTGTGGTGTTGATGAAGAATACTGAAAATACCATGGAACTGCCAGAGAATGAATAAATCTGTCCTGGAGGAAGCACAGCTGGAATGCTCCTTGGAAGGGAGAATGGCCAGACTTCATCTCACCTACTTTAGTCATGTTGTCAGAGGGACCACTCCCTGGAGAAGGATGTCATGCTTGGTAAAGTAGAAAGTCAACGAAAAAGGGGAAGGCCCTCCACAAGATGCAGACACAGCAGCCGCAGTGACGGGATTAAGTACAGCAAGAATTGTGAGTATGGCACGTGACCAGGCAGTGTTTTGTTCTGTTGTACATAGGCTCGCTATGAGTTGTAGCCAATTCGACAATACTTAACAACAACAATAGTCCACAAAGACAATGTTCTACATTGTACTTTGATAAGTAGTGACTAATGCCATCTAAGGTTCAACTATTGGTCTCTTCCTGTCCAGGGCAAAGAAGAGTGAAGAAAATCAAAGAGACAAGGAAGCAATTAGTCCAAAGAACTAATAGATTATATGAACCCCAGCCTCCACGACTCTAAGACTAGAAGAATTAGATGGTACCCAGCTATACTGCTGACCACTCTCAAAGCGTTCATAATAGGAGGTCCTGGATAGAGTAGGAGAAAAACATGGAACAAAACTCAAAATCATAAATAAATTTTTTTTTAAAAAGCCTGGTTTACTGGTCTGATAGACTATGGCCCATAGAAACCCGTCCAGCCTGGAACTGAACTCACCCTTGTGGCTCAACTTTGAACTAAACAATAGGCCTCAATGGTGAACAATAACACCAGGGAAGTACTCAGCAGATCAACCAACCATACGAGATGAAAATGGCAGCACTTGTCCAGAGACAAAGCTCAGAAAGCAGGAAGACAATGAAAAGAAGGATGAAGGGAAATAGTAAGCACAGGAAGGAAGTGGGAAGAGTCCTGTTCCATTGTGAAGATTACAATAAATGTCATAGAACAAAACATATATGAATTGCCAACTGAAAAACCAATTTGCTTGGTTAATTCACTATATATATATATTTTAAAGTGCTATCTCTTAGCTAAGGAGCCCTGGTAGCAGTGGTTAAGCATTTGGCTGCTAATGGAAAGGATGGTAGTTCAAACCTACCAGCCACTCCATGGAAGTAAGATGTGACAGTCTGCTTCTGTAAAGGAAACTGCCTGGAAACCCTATGGGGTAAATCTACCCTGTTGCTATGAGTCAGAACTGACTTGATAACACACAACATCATGTGTTAGCTATTATTTCCACCAAGATTTATTTGATAAATATCCTCTTGCTAAATATCTATGCTCTTTCTATCATTTTACTAAAAACACAGTGCTGGATGCCTGGGGCTAAGGAGAGTGGGAGAATACAAACTCCATACATACTGGTAGAAGTTTCAACTAATGTAAACTTTTCTTAAGGCAATTCAGCATTCTTTATCAAAAACTTTAAAAATATGTACATTCTTTAACTAAAAAATGTGATTTCTCTAAATTGTCCCTCAAGAATAATAACAGAATTGTAAAAGACATATAATAGTAAAAAACTATAAATATTCTGCAAGTACAATAGGGGTATAGTTATAGTTTGATCTGCCAGTGTATATTCAGAGTGATTTTTACCTTCTTTTTTGTATTTTTCAAACTACTTAGCATTTTTAATAATACATATATAAACCATTTATATAAAATAATAAAATTATTTTTTTAAAAAAATAACCAAAGAGGTTATTCTTTAACCTCCATCAGAAAACGTCACCACCAAGATAAAAAGCCACTAAAATATATTTGTGAATCAATATTCTGTTAAAAAGAAAATACATACAAAATAAATACTCCCAAGTTTGTGAAGATCACAGTGAGTATTATTTTCTCACATCTTTCCCTTAAATATTCTACAATTTTACTTCTATCAAATGCATTAAATTTATAGCAGAAATAGTCTTAGACATATTACAAATAACTCCTGCTGGCCCATCTCCTCAAATGACTTTTTCAAGATGACGTAATTAAGGACAGAGCCTATACTAGAACCCAAGTCTCTTTATTTCAATTCAAAGACAAGTTAATGTTTAGGAATGAGAAAAAAAAAAACTTCTCTGCTTCCTAAATATCTTTCATTTATCAATTATCTACTTTCTAAAAATAAGCAGGTTTCTGATTCATTTTCTTTACATGCCCATATGACATAATAAATAGTGTGGTTTTCCATTGGTTTATTCTACTTGTTTATTAACAAATGCAGAATAAGTAAATTTTCCAATTGTTTAATATACTATATTCCATACCATGATTAATAAAGTTTGTTCACTAACCCTATCTTAATAAAACTCAATTAATAAAATTATTTCGTAGGCTCGTTTTAAATGTTATAATAAAAATGAAAAACAAATAATCATTAATTCATTACTTACCAAATAAGGAAAAACATACACAGGCACAAAAATATCTTTGTAATATGGTAATTTCTTAACTTTTTCTAGGTCAAGGATCCTTTACACAGATTGAGATTTTAAAAGAAAGAACTATAGATCCTCTCCCTCAGAAAAATGCAAATCACATAAAATTTTCCATAATTGAGAGGGTTCACAGTCTCTCTGTAGCTCCTCATTAAGTACCCTATCTCCCATATGATACACTAAAATAAATGTCTGATCAACTGAAATGATTATACGCTTGTTGTTGTTACTGTTACGTGCTGTCGAGTTGGACCCGACTCATAACGACCCCTCCTTGGGTTTCTGAGGCAGTATAACTACGGAAGTAGATTGCCCCATCTTCCTTCCAAGGAGTGGCTGGTGGGTTTGAACCGCAAGCCTTCTGGTTAGCAATCAAGGACTTTAGGCACTACGCCACCAGAGCTCCTGATTAAATGTTGTGTTGTTGTTGTTATTTGCCTTCGAGTCGGCCCCGACTCCTAGCGACCCCTCCTTGAGTTCCCGAGGCAGTTATCACTACGGAAGTAGGACTGCCCAACCTTCCTTCCGAGGAGTGGCTGGTGGGTTTGAACCTCCAGCTTCCTGGTTAGCAGTCAAGTGCCTCAGGCACTATGCTACCAGAGCTCCCGATTAAATGTTAGTAGCATGATATTAAATGTTAGTAGCATGATATTACTACACATGTTAAAAGCCCAGAAAAAAAAGGCAACTTTGAGTAGATTACAGCAAATAATCCCATGTCAAAGACTTAACCAATCAAGTGATATATCAGTACATGTATTAATATGAGCACAGAAAGGTATCTGAAAAGCTATATACCAAACTGTGAAAAAATAACCACATCACTTGAGTGTGCAAAGGACAGGCAACCTTTTTTTAAAAAAAAAAAAACTTAATTCAATCATATACTTTGTTTTAGAATTTTTTTTATCCAGGGTGTATTATTTTTCTAATTGTTTTAAACCTAGTAATTAGGAAAATAGGAACAAGAGAATATTGAAAATGTTTGCTTATCACCATCACCAATTCAAAGCACATCTTCTCCCTTGCTAACTGAGGTGAAGATGGACTCTTGGTTCTATCATCAGATCTGACAGAAATGGAAATTCCAGCACTATATTCGTTTTAAGAAAACTGCACTGCAACTAAAGCAAGAAGATATTCTATGTGGTGCTTTAGAAAGTAATTTTATCTGGATCTTCTACTTAGCGACTTTAAATAGTAAAGGACTTTTAAGTAAAATACAAAAATACACTCTCAGATATAAGTATTAAGGTTTCTATCCTTTAGTAATTTATTTTACAGTATACATTATGTTAGCATATTGCTATGATACATTTGCTTAAATCAGAAGGCGATGAACATTTACACTGCATTTTATAAAATTAAATTAAACATTTAACTTCTACTTACTCTGAATCTGCTGTGACACTACTTAATGCACAGTCTAAGAGGCCAACTCTGTTTCGAGTTCTTGGGTCCCAGCACTCCACTCGACCCTAAACAAGTAAAACACAATCATTGTAAATAACAGCTGCTATCAGAACAATTTTAGACAACTACAAATTTAAAAACACTAACGATGATCTCTGGTAGCATAGTGGCTAAAGCACTTGACTGCTAACCAGAAGGCTGGCGGTTCAAACCCACCAGCCACTCCTCGGAAGG